CAGAAAGTGTTCTTTAATTTACTCAGGGAAAACATATAAAAAAGTAACTGTTACTCCTGGACTTAAGTACAGATTCATCCAGCTAAAATTGGAAGGAATCTATGACAATCTTTAAAAATGAGAATTTCAATTATCACACTACAGAATCTCTTATTCATCAATACAGGTACACGAGTAAGAATTCAAAATCTTATAGCAATATCTGTCTGCAAAAAATTTGAAATTAATTTTCAAGAGACTATACTCTATTTTTGCGTACAGTCTTTACCGTAACTGAATGGTTTCACTGTTAAGATTTTCTTATTCAGAGGATACCTGAGCTATGCAAAGTAAAATGTAAATCAGAAGCAAATATGCAGTTCTATATAGATTTTTGAAAACTAAATATCAAACAACCAATGCACCCTGCTGGCTGTGTTATGGAAAGTACACTGCATATTTTTATTATAAATATGTATTAAATTTAAGTAAAATTTAACTAAAAAGTAACCTATTTGTGTCAAATAACCAAAGGGAAGCAGCAAATACGTGAAATATGAAATCGGGAAATAACAGTTTCAATCCAAAGATAAATTTTAATTTATTCTCATTAAAACCATAACAATACTAAATTAAACAAATAACTTTTTGGTCAGTTTTGAAGAATTTTAGAGTGAAATTGTTGGAACCTTGCTAATTAAAAAGGGTTTCTGCTAATTTTGAGGATCAAGGCCCAGATTATAATACTTACAGCTAAATGTATACACACAAATATTTCCACTGGAGAACAGACTGCTCTGTAAGTGTCTGCAGATTTAGCATTATTTGCTTCCTGCATACTTTTATAGTTCTTAGATAGCTCCTCTTACTGCACCTCGCACATCTGGCAGTCAGACACTGCTTAATAATGTCACACTTCGTTTGGACTGCACTGGAGCTACAGATCTACCCTGATGTTACTATTTCCTACGATGCTAGTACCATTCCCAAGTACCAAGCAGGGAAGCAGAGACAGACAAAAGCTGTCTATTTACTTCTCTGTTAATCTTTTAATGAGTCATTACCATGTCATTCAAGCAATTAAAACATACATTTAGATACTTAGCACTAGCAAGCTAAACGTAAATCTAGCACTGTGGTCCCAATTCATAGAATGACTTGAAGACTTACAAAAACAGTGGTGGCAGGTGACGTGTATGTAATTTCCAGACAGAAATAACATTTATTTTTCAATTAAAAATTACTAACAAGTCATATCAGCCCTCAAACACCTCCTTTACAGTTCCTTTCTATTAATTCCTAAAGACCTCTTTAATATTCCTATGCGTATGCTTAACTTTCTCGCTCTGATCAAGCCACAGTAGATATAACATGACCAAGGGGAATGCGGTAGAGATCCCTGCAGTTGCTCTTGGAATGCCATGGAGTGATTAACACTGACCCTGTTGCTCATTGAGAATGCACTATTAGGATATGCAAAGCAACTTACATGGAGATGGAGAAAGGCTGTATTCCTATTAGCATTCATGGGAGCTATGCAGCTACAGTCTTGTTCGTCAAGTTTGGAATATACGCTTTTGTTATTGATGGGAAAATGTCAGTAGTTACAAATGGTTACACACAGGGGTATAGCAGGGTCAAAGCAAACTCCAACACTTTCTTTCCCCCTCTAAGGCAGAGTGCTGCTTCAGCAGTTCTTTTTTGACCTGATGGTACACCTCTTTCGATAAAAGAAATGGTGAAATTCCCTGCCCTGACCTTTTCTGCAGCCTCACCACCCGAAGATTAAAGAAAAAAATCTCCAAAAGGATATGCCATTAGCGGAGTATGATGGGACAATCATCAGACACCGCTGCAGACATCACTGCCTATGAAATCTGCCTTCCAGACCTCTGCAGGTCCACCCACAGCTCTGACGGGTCTCATAAAACAGTCTTTCAACAGCATGAATAGGGTCTGAGTCATCAGTTTCCCAGCTACAGACAACTACAGTTGCTTCACTTCTACTACTGAAAGCTTCCTTTAAAAAACAAAACAAAACTGGTCGGTGCTGCAGATATTCTTTGCCAGATGTGGCATGACACCTCTTAGTAGACGGAATTCTCATTCACTAAGTTATAATTACTTCTTGTCAACTTGAGATCCCAGAAGAAAACTTAAGAGTTTATGGGAAATTAATCCAATTTTGTCACCTTCAGTATTGTTCTCGCTGGAAACACTGTTGGCGGAAGATTCAACCTACTTGCATTTTGCCATCCCCAGAAACACATAAAATTATTCTGGGACCCTAAGAAGTATGTTCACACATGTCATGTATTTTGACAAACCCAAGCTCGTCTTCAGTGTACAGCAGCTTCTATGTAAGGCTGTATCTAAGGCCTTCAGTGCAGCTATGTTAATTAGCACAAGCTGTGCATCTGATCCGTGACAAAAATAGAAGGCTTATTTCTGAGCAGGCTTTGATTGGGAAGATGCTATGAAATACTCTGAGGAAGAGAAAACATCCCTTGTTAGGCTCCTAAATGGTTTAGGAATAGTCTCCTGACAGGTAAGAAACTTTGGTTTGAGGAAATTCCAATTACAATTGGCATCTACAGCAACATTTTAACAAAGGCAGAATAAAAAAGCCTGAAAATTAGCTTCTACTGACTGTGCCCAACCTCCTGCTGGAAGGAAATCCTGTCTGCAGGTTAGCACTGCTCCGTGCTTCTCTGCAAAGGGCAGCAATCAGACTTGCCGGATCGGGCCAGCTTCTCTTTTACTCTTGCTGCTGACTTCTGCACCTGAGAATATTGATATTCTTTTGCGCAAACCTCCTCTTATTTACAACATAGTACTTCTATGCTCTTGACAGAACAGTTATGCTGAAATGTATGGCATTTCTTGTTGATTCTATTTGGCTAGGGAGTACCTAGACAGCCTCAGCACTACTTTTAATTTTACCCCATCCATTCCTCACCCACAATAGAGCACTGGTTTAAGGTAGATACTGAAATATGCACATATTTACTCTGTAAAATAAGCTGAGACGCACAGCACCTTGACAGTTTATTTTACAATGCCTGGAAATGTGGCGTCAATCTCCTTCAGCTTCTGTGGGCATGAAGCGTGCCACTCAACAGAGCTACACAATCGCTAGTTCTGACGTTTACGTCCTCAGACTCACGTCATTTAGTTTTCAAAACCGAAGTCATAAAACAATTCTGCCTTTGTTAACACCAAACATATTTCTAACCTCTTTGGTTGTTCAGGAAAGTCGAGAACATCATATAGCAAAACTCAAAACCAGACGGCAAAAAAGTCCCCTACTTAAAATCTGTGTGTGGGGGGGGGTGTGTCTTTTCTTTTTTTTTTTTTTTAAAGATTAGATTTAATCTGTTGAGGAACCACGACTCGCAACAGCATTTGTCTTCAGCAACAATGCAATCATTTGTTACCACGCACTTAGCCTA